AATTCATCTGGAAAGCGTGTGTAGGAAAGCCTACAAAAAGGAGGGTGCAACTTCTAACAGATCTTCTTTTCCATCAGATTCTCCTCTTTGAATTTGCAGGCGATGGGGAGCCTGCTGGGTCGCTTCCTCTCCCCGTGGCTGCTCCTCTTTCCTGCAGGTTCCAGGAGAGCAGGCGACAAGCTCAGAAACCTCTGCGGTGATGGAGGTGCTGGGCTCCTTGCTCAGGGCTGCTCTTCAGCAGTAGTGCTGGAGGCAGCTCTGCATGTTCTTAAATGTTGCATACCTTTTTCATGACCTTTAAAATCTGTTTTTCTTCCGCTCAGTTCCATCTTTTGCATGTAATGTGGCAGAGTTTTTTGTATAGATGCAAGTGCTGATGGAGCAGGGTTTTGCTTTGGAAACTCCACAGAGTTTCCCAGAAGTGCTGGCCAGTGTGGTCCTTATCTTCTGGAGGGTTTCTTGGGAAACCAGGATATTTTGAGATGGAAAGGACTTGTATCTGTCTAAAAGTGACCTACAGACCTGTTTTGCCAGGGAACTGTAAAACAAACCTTCAACAGAGAATGTCGTGTACTGGAATTAGTGACTAAGATAATACTTTTCAGAGTCCTTTTTGACTAACTTGGGTTGAAAAAAGTTGTGATAGCACTGATGTTTCAAAAGGCAATAATCAAATGAAGGGCAAGAAGGTACCAGGATGGATTATATTCCAAAATGCCTACATTTCACCTACATTTTTGTTACCAGAGAGGGAGTATTTTCAGATGCATGTTTCATGGAGCAAGGAAGACCTGGTGGCCTGCTTGACTTCTGGGCACTTTGTGTGAGCATTTGGGTTGACTTTCCCAGTGCAGAAGTAGAGCCATTCACCTTCTGCTGTTACAAAGCAGTGTGTTTAGGAGGCCGTGCTGGCTGCCCTGCAGTTGTCCCCTGCGGTCCAGAGGGCTGCGGTCACTACCAGGTTGTCCTCTGCTTTGTGCTCCACGTGGGCACAGAAGTCAGGGGCTGTGACAATAGCAGGATATGTGGCACGCAGCCTCCTGAGATCTTTAATGCATAAATTACAGCAATCTCAAATTCCTGAACTGAAGTTTGTAGTGCCTTAAGCAAGGTTTATGACAGACTGTTCCTAATGCTACTGTACTTTAACATCTTTGTCTTTTTCTATCATTAAGAAAAATGTTTCTGTAATGTTAATTAGCTAGTAACTGCTGTTTTCGGTATGCTTTAATTACTGTATGTTGCTTGATTATATGTTATGAAATAAACTTAAGGTTATTCTAGATTGTTAAGCATTAAGCTAATATATATGACTACTGTATTTAAGATCAGGTTTTGCAGATATGATGCTGGGGACATTGGGAAGAAGAATCCAGTCTCATTCGTGATATATGAGGACTATTTTAAAAATTGTCTTCTAGATTTGAAAATCACTATTTACAAAAAAAAATCTGGTAAAATACCGTGAAAGTACTTTGGATCATAACTGTGCATAAACATAGAATAGATTGTAGAAGTGTAACTCTTGGATGGTTTATGTTTGGGCACTAATGGGCATCTATTGCCCAACAGTCTAATTCTACGTTGTGCAAAGTCTTTGCTTGCTACCTACGATCTCTTAAGAATTCTTTATTTAGAACTCTGGTTCAAAATAATTTAGTAATAGCTGCATTGCTAATAGATAAATTATATGTATGTAATTCTATCTTTTTGCATCTAATTAAGCACTGTTGTAGTTATGACAGTCTTTAATTGGAAAAATTTGTAAATAACTTGTTCTCCATGGACAACTCAATAAAAAACTTCTGCTAAAACAATGCTAAATAAAAGATTGTCCTTAATCTTTATATAATGTTTGGTCAGTAGTCAAAAAAGTAAGCTATCTCATGTAGATGAGATAAAACTTCTTATAACAAATCTGAATAACTTGCATATCAGAATGAAAAAGTTGACATTTTTTTGTGAGTTTTTTTTTAGGATTGTAAAAAAGTGTCCTATAATTTCTTTGTCTTCTTTAGAAAGATATTTAAAGTAATTTTTGTATTAGCCATTGACGTAACTGATCTAATGCTGGAAACCACTAAGAATTTTAATATCGTTCTTGTGTAATTGTCTTCATCTCTGGTCTTTGCAGGAGAGGGTGCTTGAAATACCAAAGAGTTTTTCCATGGTGTTTCTTTCTTGGATTGCTAGAATAAAATCAGTATTTATTTCAGTCAGTTGTAGATAGAAATAAACAGTTCACATTTTTAGTTGATGCATGACTTTTCCATTTGCTCTACTGGATCTTAAATTCTAGCTTCATCCCTAGTTAAATTTTGTGGTTATGTTCACATATTTCTTCTCCTCAGATCTTCAAGAAGCTCAGTGTAAGAAGCCGTGTAGTTCTGATCATGAACCAACGTTGAAAATGGTGGAAATATATGGAAATGGATCCTGTATTGTGCTGTGCTCCTTTTTTCCCCTCTTCTCCAATTTTGATTGTTTTCTCTTTTTTTCCCCTCAGTGTTTGCAAAATGACTTCCCCCAAAATATTAACTTTAGCAAACTAGCAGTCAGTAAGTCATTTTATTTAAGATCTTTTAGGTTTTTTTGCAAGGTTCTCCTTTTTAGAAAAAGAGTTTTGCTTTGAAGTGGCAGTGTGGCTCAGCACTGTGGATGCCTAGAAAGATAAGGTCAGCTGAGGGTCCCCCCAGTAGCCTAATAAAATGTGGCATTTTAAGTGCTGTAGAGAGGGTCTCAATTGCGGCTGCTGTTGCAGCTAACCGAGTGCTTAGGAGCACTGAAGATGAGGTTTTCATTCAAAGAAAAATGGCATTTATGCTACATTTTACAAAAAAACAAAAAAAAAAACAACAAAAAAAAATCTTGTGCCCACAAATGTTGTTTCCTTTATTTTACAATTTATGCTGTCCTGGGGGACTTTGATGTGGATGGGACCTTTTGTTGGTTCTTTTAAGCGAGGATATTCCACTGTCCTTGCTGCTGTTTTAGGTATCAAAGCCTTGCTTGCAAGTCACTAAGTGGTAATTACTCTTTTTTTCTTTTTTTTTTTTTTAAACCCTACTTACTGTTGATGCTCTACATTGAAAACATAGTAGCAAGGCTAAAGTATTTCTGAAGTTGCACATGAAAGTCTTGCTGAGCTGTTTATGTGGGGGGTGGGAAAGAGACTCTTGGGGGAGAAAAAGGAAGTTTAAACTCCCCTGCTATTAAAATAGAAGGCAGAAAGTAACTGAAATTCAAACATTTGAATTTAAGGATGGTGAGTGATAAAATTCACCTAGAGGAATTAGATTTGGACATTTTCAAATGGAAAGCTCTTGTGCCTGTGACACTGCTTGTGGTTATTTTGGTGGTTGATTGAAGCATTTAAGAGAAGAAAAAATGTTTGTTTAACTCTAAACAGAGGGAACCGAGTTGGGAATTGGGAACAGAAGGGAGAAGAAAAGCACTTTAAACCCCCCTCTGATTATGATTATCATGAAACTGAGCTTTGCTTCAAGATCTTAACCAGTGCTATGCTTTCATAATTTAATTGGTATTTATTTTCTCAGACTGCACCGATTTTAATTTTTCAGAGGATGCCTATAATAAACTGGATCCATCAATAAGTAACTTATGGCATTATTAGACTCACTTATGGGAAGTTTAATTGCAGTTGCCTCCATCGTTTTTCTTGACAGCTGTTGAAAATAGTGTAGTGAAATAGGTTTTATGCTGACTTTTAGGAAGCAGATATTTGTTCAGAAGCAGACGGGGAGTGCAAAGATCCATGCCAATATTCAGAATTCATATTTCCCTTGAATGGAAGGTTGTGATAAAATGGTACATGGTGTGTTTTCATTGCCTGTTGAAAGACTTTCATGCAGTTAAAATAAGCATTTTGATGGTGGTTGAATTAAGAGTTTTTGTCAGTCTCTTCTCATCATGGATGATTAGACTAAAACGTCTGCTTGTCTTGACTTGAGATCACCACAGCTTCAGATAACATGCTTTGTGATTGAAGGTCGAAATATTTTGAATTCTAATAGGCTGCCAGATGAATTGCTTGAAATAGACTGTAAAATTTCAAGGCTTCCTTTTCCATCTGCTGTGAAAAGAACCATTGGGAATGGTTGAGCTTGATGATCATAGAATTACTGGATGGTGATTCTAAAACCCTCAAAGGGAAGTTGCTATGGAGATCTAGTTCCAAACTGTGAAATGATTCACCTTTGAAAGGCTTCGGGGTCTGAGAAGCTGAACACATCATTGTTCAGGTGGTCATTGGTTAGGAAATTGCTGGTGCCTGTGTAATCAGCACTCCTGTGGTAGTTAACGATCTAAAAAGGTTTGTTCTGAATGATGTGGGACAACAGCAATGTGCATAAGATGGCTTCTCTCAATCATAGTTTGCTCAGTCTGGTGCTTGTAAAAATACAGTGAGCTAAATGGCAGACAAATGAACTGCTTCATTGAGGAAGTCTTTTAAAAACATTTTTTTTTCTCTGATGGATTTGACATCTAAAGTAAGAGGAGAGGAATCTTTTCAGCTTGAAAAGCGGTGGTTAGGTGTTGCAAAAGTATCGTGTTTATATGTTTATTTTACGGGGAGCAGGATGGTGGAGCTGTGTGTTCATGTTTATTTGCAGATTAAAGGAGCAGTCGTGTTGGAAACGGAAGATTTCTACTGAGTCACAGCTTGGGAGCAGGATTAGGTTGCCTTAGTATATTCATTTTGAGCCCCCTAAAGAATTTTTGGGGCTGAATAGGCACTGTGCTCAGACAGTTATGGGAAGGAGAGAGAGGAGGGAAAGAAAAGAAAAAGAAAAAAAAAGGGGAAAAGAAGTTCACCCTGTATGTCCAAGATCAAAAGGGTAATGAAAAGGAATACACTCAAACTGTTTGTATACATGTATATAGCAATGCATTTTATCAACTATTACTAAAATTGCCAGCAGATTCTTAAGTAACTCTGAGAAATACCTGGGTTCACACATCTGATGTGCTTTTTCTAGGAATGCATTTGTAGTTAGTGATTACAGCTGTGAATTCAACATGAAACTGTGGTTTGGTTAAATTCACATAAAACCGTGTGTCTTGCATGTCTTGTGTGTCTGTCTGCTGAGTAGCCTTTCCTGTCCTGGTTCCTCTTACGGGCTTCAGTAGAGAGGAGGTTGGTGGCTACTAGGTGGAGCCAGATAGTTACAGAACCCAGTGAAACCGTCCAGGGCGCAGCTGACTCTGAAGCAAAATCTTACTGGGTGGAAAAGCCAGGGAGTTGGGGACTGCTTCACTGAAAAAGTGTGCGGAAAAACAAATTTGTTACTTCTTGTGGAGCAAGTAGTCAGCCAGTGCTTTAGCAAGCAGCTTTCTGTTGGTCTGGTGGCTTCTATTTATTTATTTTTTGCTTTTTAGTTTTTAAGAGGACTAATACACACATGTGTTGAGTCTTATTTTTTTATCAAGATTCGAACATTGAACAGAAAAGCGTTGCAAACTCTCTCAGATGTAGCCTCAAATAAGATGTTAATTGTATATATATTTCTGTTTCCGGTATTTCGGGTGCTGTTTAAGTCCTGTGCGATTCCGGGGCTGCTGCGTTAGAGGAGGCTCTTGGCTCCGTGACGTCCCTGCTCACGGGTTGCAGGGAGCCTCCCACACCTACCAAGCGGATGCAGAACAAGCTGCCTCTCCATCGCCCGGTGTTTTGGTTGGCTGTAATTATCCACAGGACTCCTAGTGATAGAATTTAGGATTCAATTAATGCAGAATATTTGGGAACTGTTAGGTAACCTATTGTAGCTGGAAACTTTACTGACTTTTGTTTTGGCATTTATTTAGCTTAAGATGCCTCTTAAAATATTTCTGAAGATGCCATGTTGGTATGATGCTTTTTATTCCTTGCGTGTTCCCGGAGCTTTGTCATCGTACACTGCGTGCTGCTCTGGATGCTCCTTCTCTATGTTTCATGAAGACCAAGTCTGCAGAGGCTTCATGTTGAGGAATGCAGGATGGGTCCTGTAGGAGTGCAGGCTGTAACCACTGTGCAGGGCTATATCAAAATCAATAGAAACTTCAGGGTTTAAATGTGTGGGTTTTTTTTTCTCTCTTATCTCTGCATCTTCGGCATATTCAATCTGTGATGCAGCTTTGTAGCAAATGCTTTAATTATTCAGAGACAGTTTATCTGGTCGTTTGACACCAGGTAAAATTACCCTGTGAGCTTCTGCTGGCTGCCAGCTGCTGGTCTTGACCTGTGTAGTTGTATTTCCTTAAAAAGGCAGATGTTGTTAGCACTACACTTATGGTGACCTCGGGTATTCTAGTGAGCACTGTCACGATAGAGCCTGGCAGTGAGTAGTCGTGAAGCAGGGGACTCTGCCCAGAAAAAGCTTCGGTCAAAGGAAAAGGAGGTGAAATGCAGCAGTAGATGGTGAAGGTGTCTCGATGTTTTTCGTGATTTCATTTCTGTAATAAGACCCATCACTGAAGGCCAGTAGTGTGTTTGAATTTGGTTGTCGCTGTAAGTGTTTGCCTTGGGTGATTCTGCATCTTCTGCCAACCTTGAATGCGTGGAGTGTTTCCCTTGGTGGTTGTTGAACCTGAAACTTCTGTCACTTGTCTCCACCATTGCCTCGTTGAATGAAGATGGGATCTCGTATGTGACCCTTCCTTATAGACTGCTTGAAAGGTTCACGTTTCTCAAGGAATGAGAAGACAACTGCTTAGTGGGGTTGTGGATGGGATTCCTCTGAATTCCTGTTTGCTTCTGGAATGAAGGTCAGAGGCTGGGGCCTGTTTTTCCTTCTGCTCGAATCTCTTCGCAGCCGCTTTGCGTAGGGGCCGTTCTCTGGTCCCGTGCGGACACGGGCAGAGGGCCAGTGCAGGGCCCCTGTACCGCTCCGGAGCCTTGGGAGCGCTGCCTACTGCCAGCAGCGGGGTCTGTGGGGCACGGGGGCTGCCCCGCGCCGGAGCCACTGTGGGGCACGGGGGCTGCCCCGCGCCGGAGCCACTGTGGGGCACGGGGGCCGCCCCGCGCCGGAGCCACTGTGGGGCACGGGGGCCGCCCCGCGCCGGAGCCACTGTGGGGCACGGGGGCTGCCCCGCGCCGGAGCCACTGTGGGGCACGGGGGCCGCCCCGCGCCGGAGCCACTGTGGGGTGTGGGGGCTCCCGAGAGCCCTGAGCTCCCGCTGGGCACGCGGGTGGCCTGGCGGGAGGCGCTGTGGGGATGCGCCCTTGTCACCCTCAATTCCATTTTCAAAGCTCTTAAGCAAAAGGGAAGGCTCCCAGACTGAGCATAGCAAATAAAGCAGAACACTGCTGAGCTCAGGTTGACAAGAGGCTTCATCTTCGAAACAAAATGTTAGCGTTCTCCAGTCTTTTTGGCTTTTTTGGAAATTTTGCAATGATCCAGGCTAGGTTCCAAGCTCCCCTTGTTGTTCCAATTGACACAACTGTGTTTTGGAAAAAATCAGAACAAAGAGACTATTTTTTTTTTTAAACAGTTAGTGATGTGTTGCTCATCACCAAGTTTTACAGTGATGTCTTGCAATAGTGATTCCATGCAGATTGCTGCATGATGCAGCCCTGGACAACGTGTGTTGCAAGTTTGCCTGAATATCCTGTGCAAGAATAACTAAGAAACTTTGCCAAACACTGTGCAGTGGACAGTGCAGCGACAGTATTTCAAATATGCAATCAAGGGCAGTCAGAGTGAACCCTCTGCGAATGGAGGCATGAAGGGCTCTAAGATTTATTCCTTTAGATTTCAAATAATGTTCTTTGCCCACTGTGACCACCTTGATAGCAAATCTCAGCAGGCAGAAGGTTTTGCCTGTGGAGTGTTGACTACATCCCAGTGGTGCCAGGATGAAAGAGCAATGGCAGGTAAACACATTTTGCATCAGAAATAAATCACTAATGTTTGTCCTACAGATTCAAGCATAAGAGCTCTGGAGCAGGGTTTGTGGATAAAATCGCTGGAACTACTTGCTCGGTAACATCTTTCTTTCAGTGAAAACTGCTTCTGCTGGGGAAGAATCATCGTTTCTGCTGCAGACTTGCATGTCCTTAGGTGAATTGCTTTGCCTTAGTTTTTCAGAGGAATTTGTTACCCCTCTCATATCCTGTACTGACCTCGAGGAGTGCTTGGTTGACAAGTACTTCTATGCAGATGTAAATTCTTTGTGTGCTCGAGAAGCTGCAGCCACAGTCGTCTTTTAAAATGCAGTATCGCTGCTACGAGCGCTCCCCGAGCTGTGTGGGGCCTGTTCCTGTTTGGCACGTGCATGGGCTCCTGGTGGGCTGCTCCTGCAGGGCTTTGCGGGGAAAGGTGCTGGGCTGGCACCTCCTCACTAGTCCCGCGTTAGGGCACTAACTACCCCACGTTACCCCACGGGGTAAACATCACCCCTGCTGTCCTGTGCAGGTAAGTGGTGGTTTGGAGCGCTGCCGGGGGAGCAGCTGCGCTCGCTGCCCGTGCGCTGCGTCGCGGCGCGCCGAGAGCCGAGAGCGGCAGCGACCGCGCCGCGCTGCCTCCCGCTGCCGCCGCGCCTCAGCTGCGCTGGAGAACAAAAACGAGCCTTGTAACGGGAATTAAAGCCTTTTCTTGCATTGCTGCAGTGCAAGTAAAACAAAATAATTATTGCCACAGTGACTGCTTGCATTTTAAATACATTTATACATATTATTTTTTAAAAAAACTAGTTAACTTTAAAATATGTAAGTTTTCTTGTCATTTAGGGTTCTGTGAAGCTGATCATCAAGAGGGTTGCAAATCATTGGCGGTTTCTATTTTCAGAGTTCCACATCCCAGAGTAATTTGCTTTAATTTCACCCAATTTAACCTATACTTCACACCATCACCATTCAGCTTTAATAGCTATGTTCTATGCATAAGAAAAGCAGATAAATGTCCACAATTAGACTGCAAATGATTACAACTAGTTAGGGCTTTATGAAGACAAAACTTAAAGGGCTGTGGCACAAAACAAAGCCACAAAGGATGTCTGAAAAATTCTTTCTTCAGAAGTCAAGGTTTACTATGGTGTTTTATTTCTATTTTATTTATTCATTTATATATTTATTTGGTACTTAATTTCGCCTGTGTTGAAGACACAGGCAGGTGTGCTGCCTTAAGCTCAAAAATATTCGCTTTGAGGAATATTAGGCTTGTGTTCCAGGTGATTAGTTTTACTTGAAATTAGCTTGCAAGGGAAAGCATACTAAGCCAATCAATTGTTTGTTGATTCTTTGTTAATGCAATGCCACGCTTAGGAAGCTGTGTAGGAAATAGGTTGTCTCTGGCAGCATTCTCTGCTCTTACCATCCGGGTTATGCAGAATAAAATGTGCAGTTGTCAGAGGCCAATGCATTTTATACACCTGAGTCACTAATGGCTCTATGCTCTCCTTGGAAATCTTCATAAGGGTGATGACAGCATGCCAAGCCACTCTAAATACAGCTGCTCTCCAAAACATATATCTGCAGGGATATCATGCGATCCTGCCCTTCCTTCCCCGGGAGCCCTGCTCTGTTTCCTCGTGTCCCTCGGTGCCGGGGACAGTGCCAGGGAACAGGGGCCGCTGTTGAGGGCGCCTTCGGTTCCGTCCTTACACATTGCCCGGCAGCTCCTGCAGCAGAGAAGGTTGTGGGTTCGGTGACTGCCGGTGGGAATTTCAGCTTGGGATACAATTCAGGTTCTGATTAAATCCCCCTATTAATTACTCACTGCGTAACACACCGGGGCGGTTATGGACCTTGAAATTAGTGCAGTACCCAGGTGCTGGTGTGAGGAACCTGGTGTTAACCAAATATTTTGTGTAATTTTGCTTTAAGGATAAGGGTTATTGGAGAAAAGAAGCAACTGATATACCGAATATAAATTAATCCTGAAGATATGTATTAATTTCCGTAATTGCAATTAGGATCAGAATAAGTCTTAGTAGAGTTATTTTGGTTTTTAGTATCTCAATGGCAGCTTGGAGCAGATAAAAACAATAAAGTTTGGGCTATAGGCAGCTTCGTTTTCGTGTCAGAGTAGTTTTATATGCTATATCATAAAACTTTCAGTCCAATCAGCAACTACATTTAAATACTGCAAATTGTGGCAGCAAAACAATAATTCTGCTGATTAGCCCCTTTCCATTTCTTGTAAGTGAACTGTTTATGCTGTTGAGTACCTTTTGAAAAAAGAAAAAGCCAAAACAGCCTTGATTAGTCAAGGAGTAATTGGATGACTTGATTTTAGCAAGAGAATGAATTGGTTGATGATAGCCTGTAACTAAGTGTAGTGGTTCTGTTCAGATGAATACATAACATACAGTCATCAGATCTTGACAGGTATAACATAAGCAATGCAAAAATCTCTGGAGGCTGAGAGGTAAATTTTGTCAAAGAATTTTCAAGCTGATTCTTGAAAGAAATGGGAAGAAATGTGCATGCCATTAGATGATACTGTTTAAAAGGTGACATTTGTTCCTGCCGTGGTGTATACATATTTATCCGTTGTTCCTCATGCGTGTGGAGCAAAGCAAACGCAGCGCGTGGCCGTGTCGCCCTGAGGCCCCGGCGAGGAGGCAGCTCTGCCCTGCTGCCCAGGACAGGCCGGGGAGCCCAGTCCCATCCTCCGCTGGTCACACTGGTTTCTGGAGCTTTGTATCCAGCCTGACTTGAAAGCAAAGTGACAGAGACGGCTATTACTGCATTACTTTCTAAGTGCAGCTTTTGAAAGATTCTGTATTTCTCCTCGTAATTCCTAGCATTGCCACCCATTGCTGCTGTGGGGATCTTCGCATGAGTTGGCGTTCAGTCCTATAGGGCAGAATTGAATCCTTTGCAGTATTAAACGTGACTTGTGCTCATCTACCCCTGTAAACGAAACCCGAGGCTGGCGCAGCAGCCGCAGGAGAGGCTGCACGGATGTGGAGATGAAGTTCAATCCGCAGCTGTCCCATCGCTGTGGTCTCTGCCGTGCACCTGCCCTCCCGTGGGCGCTCTGCCTTTGGCTCCCTTGCCCTCCTGCTCTCTCCTTGCTCTCGTGTTTCCTTTCTTCCTAACTCGCTCTTTTTTGGTCTTTGGATATCCCCTTGTCTCACATCTGGATGTCTTTGAACCGCTGGCTTAAGAGGCTCCTCTGCTTTAAGTTGATAACTGAAATCAATATTGTGAAATCCTGAACAAGAGATTCACAAATGAAGCTGGATACCTGTTGCTTATCAAGACTCTCTGTTTGCACCAAAACCCGGACGTTTAGTGCAGTTTGAGGGCCTTTCGTGCGTGCAAAATCGCCTGAAAATGTAGCATTGAAAAAATTTAAGCTAAATATCTAATATTATAATGGAATATGCAATTGGTCTCCATTTATTCCATAGGAAGAATCAGGAAACATGAGGAGGAGGCAAAGCTAAATTGTTGCACACAAAAATGGGCTGTCAACAGCTTCTTGGAGAGACTCCTCCTTTTTGACCAAGCGAAGGGCAGCTGTGGGCAAGGGGCCTCCTCCCTGGTGCTGCTGACAGCAGCTGCAGCAAAGCTGCTTACGTGGCCATCGGCACGTGGAGGAGGGCCGAAGAACTTCAGCAGAATGGTTGGAGTATTGGAATATCCGTGGGTTAAAAGGCTGAGGAGAGAGCAAATGCGTTGTTTTGTTTTTTGGAGGGATGGAGTAATGTACTGATTGGTAATGCACACTTCCCCCCGCTTAACGCAAAGAAGGAAGACAGACTTTGCACTTGAGCTCAATTCCGACTACTCGGCAGTCAAGAAGGTGGGGTTGGTAGGGGGGACTCCTGTATCTTTACAGGAACATCTTTCTGTAGCCTGTTCATAAATTTACGTGAAAAAGGTTTTGACATTTGACTGTATCTGAGTAATGTTTTTAACTTGTGTACCAAGTGTTCTAATGCAAAGTTCTGTTTCTAAAACCACTATTTTCAGTAAGTTAGGAGGAAGGACTGTATATAAATGTGCACGATGACAGAGAGTGCTGACTTCTGGGTTGTCAGTAGAATAAAGGAACTGATCATATTTAGCCCTTCTGTGTTACATTTACTACAAAGAATGTGTTGCTTTTTCTTCCTGTAAAATCAGTCTGATTTTATTTTGGTAACATGAACATAAGATTATTTATATTACAGAATTGTAAGGCATACAGATACTCTGAAAATTGATACTAGGAATAAGTACTAAACTGTTCCAAATTGTTAATAGATATTTTTATTTTAAAAGTATTTATTGATTTTTAAATTTATCTTTTTTTGTAATGCTGCTTGTGTGATAATTTAAATCCTAGCCGAATTACGTTGCCAGATTGTCTTCAGAGGGGCACGAAGTCAGCACACATGCTTCAGTAATATCTGGTTGTTTTACCCTTATGTTTCCAGTTGGCAATTTGAAATTATGGCTTCAACTGCACTTTAAATATGTGATAATAGCATGTGTTTCTAATAAGGGCCAGCACCATTTTGTTCCGATCGTATGAATGGTTGTCACTCATATATGACAAATGCACCTTCATCTGCTTCTTTGATGGCCCCCTAAAAACCATACCCTCAAATCAGGCCGATGAAATTAGCTGCTGTGTAAATTGTGTGTCTGAGTGGTTCATTATCTAATCACCGTCAGAACCACAGTGATAAAGTAGATTGAAACAGGGACGAGGTCTGCCAGATGATTTCAGGGCTTTTTTTCTAAGCCCCGTTTCCCTTGGAAACACTAAGAGTCATTCAGAACTTCAGAATTCTTTGTCTAGAACTTCTTCGTTTTTTAAAAAAATATTTAATGCGTAACATTGGTGAGCGGGGAGGGTTGCCAAGATGATGTGCCAGGTTTTCTTCCCATGGGTCTTTTAGTCATTACTGTGTGTATTAAAATATTTAGCAGTTACGGTTTTGAATTGGCTGCCACGTTTGCCGCCGATAGGTGAGCATGGGCAGCAGTTTTCAGGAGGGTGCTCTAGTCTGTTCTTACTTAGGAAAAAAGGCTCTTTGGGAAGTGTTGAACTTGTTAAGGGCTCTCCTGAAATGCCAGAATACTGGGCTTTGTAGGTACCTGCAAAGATCTTTGGATTTTGGAGTTAATAATGTAAAATTACATTTTGGTAATTGGAACATTTGGTGTATTTTGGTACCATTATTATGGTACATTAAGTACCGTACGTGTTGAATTGTATGGTATAAAATACTGCAGGCAGCGCCTGTGTGCTGGCAGGAGGACAGAATTTACTGGCTTTACTTTTTCATCTCAAGTGTTTGTGACACTAAATAGACTGTTGTAAACACTTTTTTTTTCCTGTCTTTTTGGTGCAATATGTAACTTAAGTTTCTTTTGTTTTAGGAGCATTTGAAGATGATGATATCACTCATGTTGAAGGAAGCGTGGATCCCGTTCGTGACATTGAAATAATTCATGAAGAGCTAAGGCTTAAAGATGAGGAGCTGATCTTGCAAGGTATAGACAAGCTAGAAAAAGTAGCTGTGAGAGGAGGAGACAAGAAACTAAAACCTGAATATGTAAGTAAAGAAAAAAATAAAAAAGACATTAAGCACTTCCTGTATTACACTGATTTTTTTTTTGTGGTGTTTAGTTTGTCATCTCCTGTGAGTTTAATGCAAAACACTATTCCCCTTGTTATCAGTATTTTAAGTGTTATACTGTGTTATAAAATATTAAAACAGATTATTTGCTTTGTTGACAGCATAAGCTAACACCAGTGAGGCTAATTGTCTTTTTTGCTGACATACTTTTTATGATACTTGCCACTGTCAAACTTGCTTCAAAAGTTTTGTTTGAATTCAAAGTTCAGTAGTCGCTTCGGCATTATTCTTGTTGTTAAATTCTCATCGGATGTTGGAAATACTGTTCCTAGTAGCTGCCAAGCAAATACTTTTGTCCTTGATGACGTGCTGTAGGTGCACTTTGTGGCTTTTAGTAAATGTTAAGTATAGGCTGCTAGTTAAAATTAGTTTTCGAGTTTGTTGCAGAAAGCTGTTTGAGTTCAGTATTAATGATTTTTTTGTGGAGTAAAGACATAAAATACCACACAAATTTTTAATAATTTGAGACTTTCGTCAGCTCTATGGTTCATTGAAATCAAAATATTGAAAGCTTTTTTACCTGCTTTATGACTCTTTTATTTGCTTTACTGAAGAATTTTGAACAAAAACAGCTAGCACTTGAATTGCATTTTCAGTTCTTTCCTGTTCTTTACAAAAAGCACTTTGAGATCTGTTGAGGGAAAACACTATGTAAGGTTAGGAAATGGAGGAGGAGCTGAAGAAAGAAAAGCAAACAAAGAAGTAGCAAAAAAGTTACTGATTTTAGAGAGATTGTCCTCTCAGTGTGACCTGTGTAAACTTCTGGTTGGGTTTGAAGGGGGCTCTGCTATGTGACCATAACATAAAGTTGGAGTCCTCCTTGTTTTGTAAACATGGATTGTCTGTTTTAGGAGATCCTTTTAATTAGCAAGCCTCAATAACTGTAATCTGATAATCTGACATCTCCAAGAAATTAAAAAAAAAAAGAAAGAAAAAATCTTACTAGCAACTTTAAATAAGACATCTGAAAGCGTATCTGATGCCTCTCTTCTTGTTGCTCTGTTCTAACGTCAGAATTACGATTTTTCTTCTTTTGAGACCAGACTGCATACAGTTCGTAGCTGACCTTTGTGCGGTGACCTGGCTTTGCAGCTGAATACCGTGTTAACTGCTCGTGCTGTCTCTCGGGATTGATTTTGCAATCCCTGTCAGCAGAAATAAAACAGCCAACTGCTGTTAAGGATCCCTCCATGAAATCTTGTTCAAGTTCTACTTAAAAATCAATGGCACAATGTGGGCCAAGATCAGCAACGCGTGGTGTTGACATAGGCTTGGAGTAGCTTCCTTTGCATGTGTAATTGTACATATTCTTCAAGTGTTCTAGCTTCTTAGAAATGACTCTGCTTTTACCAAGGTACCATTCTTTCAGATTCAGTGTACTTTTAAATATTGTTTTGGCTTTAACCTTCTAAAGAGGTATTGTAGAACAGAAATTCCCCTGTTATTTGCATGTATTAAAGCAGTGCAAGTATCATTTCAGAAAGCAATCAGAACAATTCTGATCTGATATTTTAAGTCTGTCGGTGCTGGTTTCTACAGAGGCATGTGAGAAGGTGAGTTAAACTTTGTTATTAGCTTATTATTCATCTCATCATCGTGTAGCAGGAGACTTCAAGTTAAAATTAAAGTATCATGTATAAGTCATGTATAAATTTATGGTACTTCAGTTTCAAAACTTTGAATGTTATAGATGGGGCTTCACTTTCAGGAAGTCTTCAGGCTAATACAATGTACCATAGTGAAATGAACATTATTGATGGAGTCTCTTTCATGACGCCAGTCCCTGGTAATAGCCATCCGTGCCTGTGTAGCTGCACCAAATCTTAAATTCCAGCACAGACTAATTCCTAGTGGTACTTGTATCATGGTTTACCTAGCTGACCACAACAACAGTATTGACATTTGGTCTCGCACAGATTATTGTCTTCAGTGATAGGAATAGAAGGTCTTTAGGTCAGTGTCAATGTCCTCTGTGGTTGGACTTCCAGCCTCCTGCTGAAAGGAGGCAGTGTCCACTGCATTTGAACTATCAGCTGAAAGGCTTTTTGCAAGTCCTGTGAGATATCTAAATTCCATTGAAAATAATCTTGAAAATAAATTCATTTTTTTGAAATTAAACAGTTTTTAGAGAATAAACTATTTGAATTATGAAGAGAGTAGTTGAAGATCTCACTTTAATGGCAGAAGGATTGTCTAATGCACATCTTACTTGGAAAATGCACTCAGGTTTGTTTTGTTTCTGCTGTGGGTGATGAACTGATAATTGATACGATGACCATAGCCACGGAGCGGGCACATCTATCAACAGGTACAGTGTGTAGCTCTTCTGCCTTTTCCTCCCTTCCATTTAACGTCTTAGCCCGTCCTGATTTATTTACTTGTAGCACAGTAATGCAGCAGAGCTGCGTGGGGTTGTGCTGACCTTGTACAGCGAGTGTTCACCAGAGTTCTCCCAGGTCTAACTGATGCTGCCAGTTGGGAATTTTCACCTTTCTTTCATTCCCAGCTGAAGATAAAAGCAGTGTACTTTATTAAACCTTTCTGAAATGAGATGCTGTGGTCTCCTTTTGAGGAGAGCTAGGGAGGTCAGTTTGTTCTGCGCAGGGTGGAACAGTGCATGTGTGCATTGCTGGCATTCTGTTTGACAGTGGCTTTTCTGTTGTAATTAGTAAGTTAAATCGTAGGGAATCAAGAAAATATTTGTATTCTTAATGCATATAATTATGCCTAAAATCTTTAGTGGACCATTTACAGTGCTTAATGTGGTATTTAGAGGAAATTGAAGTTCATTCCGAAGAACGTTCTGAACATAACAGGAAAATATCCATGGCAGGTGTTTGTGCATTATTTGGTAGCGAAGCCTGAGGTGCAAGTGCGTGATGCATAAATACACATTTTGAGTTCGCTTGATGTTATCGGAAGACAAAGAGAGCAGTCAGTGCTTAAATAGTTTCTGTCAAGGCAGATCTTCCTGCAAAGATTTCAACAGCAAATAGAAATTACTACTGTGGCAAAGAATATCTCTCTGGATATGTCCAGATCAAGTGATGGTGTCATCTAAAAGTAGGATTTATGTACTCCAAAATTAACTTCTATGGACAATGAACGCTTTCTGGGAGAGAGTTGTGGGGTTTTTTTTTTTTTTTTTTTTTTTTTGACAGGGATGCCTGTAGAACACTTTGGGTGGAAGTGTTTGCCGTGGTGCATGAACTTTATTGGTGTCTCACTAAGAGTAAAACTCCTATCATGTACAGCCTGTATTGGCTCTGGTAGAAGGACTGAATAGCAGATAGGATAATACACTTGTCCTAGATCCACTACTGCTCCCATTGTGTTTTTATTAAAGTCAGTGAGCAGGGAAACTGTGGGAGATGAGACATTGTTTTGTGCCACAGAGGAGCTCGTTGTCACCCTGGCTGACGCAGCACCTGACTTGTCCTTTCTTGTTGTAGCAGCAATCCCAGCTGCTACAACTTACTGAAGCACCCAACACTTGGCAGATGTGATCCAGTGTTTTTCTCAAGTCTAGAACTTAATTATCCTTCAAACAAAGCATTGTTTCTGAACACTATTTTACATTTTTTGTTTGTTTTCTCACTTTATTTTCATTCTTTTAAATAGAGTGAGACTCTGTTTAGCTTCCCCCAACAGAGAGACAGTGGCATTGCTAAATAGAACGGATTTTTCAATAGAAAGATGCCAAGAAAGTCATGAATGGGAGTGCTGTGGTCACCCTCCAGTTCTGTTGCATTAACGCAGGAATGGATATGGGCACAAGAAGTGGGTTTAACTCCTTAGCAATGCACCATCTCATGCAGGATAGGTCTCTGTCTGTATCTGAAGAAACTTTATAGTTATTTGAAGGTCAGAGGGAATAATAACAATTAACTAATTTGATCTTCTGCATATCCCACTTGTACTGTAATTTCAGTGCAACTGTAGGAAATAATCTTGCGGGGAGGATTTTAGTCTTTTATTTAAATATTTATAGGTAGGGATAAATTGCTATAACTTGAATGAACTGTGGTAGTGGTTACTTGTCCTTTGTGTTGACAAATAAGAACGTGTTTTTAATCTGTATTTGTCAAACTTCAGCCTTCAGCTGTTTGATTTCTGTGTGCTAGTTTGAAGAGGCTTGTTTGTATTATGCAAGTTTTTGTTGTTACTCATTTATTATTCTAATAATCTGTGCCATTAATATGGTCTTTTTTTAAGAAAGGTCATAAGCAAAACGCAAATCACTTATTTGGAGCTCCACCAGAAACACAGTCATTAGAGTTTTTATTTTACAGTTTCATTCTGAGACCTACCTGTTAGGTGGTGTTGAATCCATTTAATGTTTGCGATGTTTTTGAAGGTAACATACCTTACATTACCCAGCCAGATTCCGTAGGGGAATGTGAACATATTAATTACACGTTACAGCTTTTACTCTTGATGTGCTATGCTGTCAAACTGCTGTATGAACTGAGGAGAATGAACTGAGAGCTAGAGTAAGGCTTTAGCTGCTCCTTGCCCTGAAGTGGGTAGAGTTTTGTCACTTTGCCTCCTTTGCCATGCGGTTACTCTGCTATTGTGCCACCTGTGTTTAAAAAATAATAAAACACAGGTTTTGCTGCATTTGAAAGGTTTGCAGGGAGCTGGACAGCTATTAGATCTTGACCTTTCAAAGGGGTGGAAAAGGAAAGGATAAAGCAGTAAGAAGCAGCCCGGTGGTTCCCAGAAATCCCTCCCTTGGGGACGAGGGGCGGTTGGGAAGGCGGGGAGGATCCTCCGGCACACACTGGGATGTCAGCACCGTTGGCGGGATCGGGAAGGAGCTGCTCGCACTCCAAGTGTGAAGTGATAATCCTCACAACTACTTACTTCTTTATTAAATTTGCGGAAGTTAATTACATGCCCTTTTAATTTATAACAACACACTCGCAATTCTCTGATGCCAAGTAGGCAAGAGAATTTTCCAAGCTTTAGTTTAGTCCCTCATGCTCTGCAAAGCATTTGGCACTGGCACACATCGTTACTATCACCCATCCAAAGAGTGTATTAGCGTATGCACATGCATACACATTTTTCTCACGAGCCAGCCTTTATAAATATAACTGTAATTTAAATGCATTTGTTCATAGGACTTTTACTGTTGAGACTTACTGTTAAGGGCCTGCTTAATATCTGTGGTTTGAGTGCTGCTTTTCAAACTGAGAGCAGGACTTAAATTAAATTAGTGTATTAAATAGGGCCAAATAGACTAAACATTCACTTAGGTTAAGTATATTGCTAAAGATATAGTTGGAAATTAATTATGTTTAAAACAAAGTGATATTTGATATTTGTGGTGATTGTTTTTCTTCCTCCTTGATAATAGTATTGAATTTTGGTAGTCGAATTTTGGCTTGCTTTTTTTTGTGGTGCTTTAAATGGTGCTTGTTATAATACTGCTAGCTGAAAAACCAAGCGAGGCAACCCCATCATCAACCAAGAAGTGGATCATGCTGCCAGTGACCTCAAAGCATGGAACTGGGGACGCCAGAACTAATTAAACAAAGTGGATTATTGCTCTGTATTCTGTTATTAAGCATCCTGGAGTTAACTAGAGTAATGATTAAATATGTTTAAATGACTGTTGCAATGATAGCGAGGATAAAAAGGTCAGTTCATATTCTTTTATCAGGCCTAAATAGAAGCAATGAATAAAACTTAAAATGATACTAAATTAAACAAGACTTGAAAGAAGCCTTTTACTCTTTATGTGTTCGACTTCAGATTATTGGCGCAGCAGGATGGAAAGGCAATATGGGGATGAAGTTGCCTTTTTGTGTATTATTAGTTTTTGACAGATTTGTTGTGAAGGAATTGTATTAAGGCTCATTTAAAGGGGACCCCACCATGATGAGGGGCAGTCTGTGTTCATCTCTCTCTTCCGTAGCTTGCAGACTGCCTGCCTTGCGTTCTGCTAAGTGTGCCTGCCTGAAGATTTCACAGAAAATTTTGCTTTGAGTAATTATTTCCCAGTATTTTCTTTGTCGCACCAGGTCCAGACCGGGGTGTTGCATTTAATTAAGTTTCTGTTGTTTTGTGCAGAAAGTTCCCAAACGCTGCTACCTTCTCTGTAAAGCTGAAGTGGGGCTTAGGCTTCATGCCAGGAGGTACCTGTGTAACTGCCCCCTAGGACAGCGGGCACGTGCCGCAAGGTTAGGGACCTAAATCTGCACTCTGAAAATCAGGTCTGTGTCCAATTCGGTAGCCACGCAGATGTGGAAGAGAAGTTTTGACTGGAAATTATATATTTCAGAAGGAGCAAGTGTTATTTACTTGCTTGATGCTTGAAATTTTCTGGAAGCTTTCAGTTATGCAGCTGCCCTTTCAGTGGGATTAAAAATAATTTAATTGCTGCATAGGCCCTGAAAATTGGCCTTTTCACCTCTTACTATAGCGTAATTTCTGTTTTTTATTTTCTTCCCCCTACTCTCTAATTAGTATGCAGCAATGCATTGCTCTTGGGGAAATTGCAGTGCCAGAAGCCACACGATGGGTACCTGGAGCATTTCCTTAAAATCAGAAATACTGTGAAGTCAGAATTCCTTCACTGCTTAGCAGGAATCTTTGGGATTGTGTTGATTTTTCATATATCTATTTAAATAAAAGCCGAGGCTAACGATCCTCTCGGAAGAGTCCTTCCTGGTAGAATCGCTTCCCTTATTTTGTTTAGTCCGTTTAATTAAAAAATAAGAAACGCATAGGGTTAAAGATAAGATGGTGCCACTGTTTTCTTCCTTATGTGTAATCTTGTTGCATGTCTCTACATAAGCTGTTCTGGCCACTCATCACAGTAACCAGCTGGGCCATTTCACCTGCTGGAGCCATTAAAGAGGACTCTCTCCCCCTAGATTAATCCCCTCCGACATTAGTTTTTTGCTCTGACAACTGGAGCAGGCATTCAGAATTTGCAGGTGGCCAGTGTGACGCACATAATTGCCTACAATTTTAGGCAATGAATAAAAATGGTCTACATTACTTGTCAAAGGTTGTATATGCAGTGCCAAGTGAGATCTATGGGAAGCCTTTTAGGGTTTAAAGAACAGTTAATAGCAAAGCTGCACAGTGCTTTTTTAATCATAATGCATTTGTAATATAGCACTTTGATCTTCTCCTTGTAGGAAATGGTGTTATATTAGCCACTTTTAAACATTTATGAGTGAAATTCAGTTATAGGAGAGTAAAAGTGATTATTCTTAGGCAGAACGTGTTAGATTTCATTAAAAGTTTTAGCTTGCCCCTTCCTTGTTAAAATCGGCGGGGAGTCCTGTTCCTGGAGGGTTTCAAATCAGGATCTGAAGATTTAGAAGAGCTTTTTCCTTGTTTTTCCTTAAAGCGACTGCAAGCCCGAGAAAGACCGTAGTAAATACGGGTGTTATTTGTGCTTGTTTATACATATGCTTCAGAGCACCAAGCGTAAAGCCCAGCGCGCCCGGCAGCCTCGGGATCGTTCCCTTCCCAAGATCTTAATTCACCGCGGCATCAATTAGAACCTTAAAGATGTGCTATGCAAAGCATGATCGTGAATTACCTACCCAAAAAAGAGGGGAAAAAAATAAATAAAAAAGAGGGCGACTGCCCAGTGTGCTAGTGCTGGCAGAGCCGCGCGTGACCCTCGCGCCCCGCGAGGCTTTTATTAACACCTGCGCGCGAGGAGAGCCCCGCCACACGCAGCTCGGCGCCACAAAACTGATGAGGGAAGGCTCGGAGGGTTCAGTTTGTGTCACTTGCTGTTTGCCGTTTCCATTTCACAGATGATTAATCTTTCTGTGAAGAAAGGCCAGAGAAACAAAGCGCATTGGGCCCTTCCTGCAGTTACTCCTCCTGAATGCACACTCGCTCGCTAACTAAAAGGCCTTTAGATTTCCTGCCGCGAGAGATGTGCTGAAAGTGAATGCAGCTGGTTGGAGGTCACCAGTGCAAGGCGCTCGCCATTGTGTAATGGAGGCTCTGGCAGGTCCCGCCTGGGGGGGAGGGAGAAGGTGTTGGCGAAAAATTAATGCGGAATAAAGAAGGGCTTTGGCCATTTGAATTAATTTCTTGAAGGGTGGATTGGCAATAATAGGCTCAATTTCTTCTGCTAACGGTTCCTTTTAAAAAAAAAAAAAAAAAAAAAGAGAGAGAAAAAGAAGAAACCCGGTGTTTGCGGCGTCTCTTCCCGCCCGGTGCCCTTCCTTAATGGCATGTTGATGGTGTGCGTGGTCTCTCCCGCCGCACGCACAAGCGTCGCGTCTTGGAGAGTTTCAAAAGCCGTCTAAAATGTCCAGGTTTTTACACGTGTCTTATGAGCTCTGCTAGTTTTGGAGATGAAGAGAGGTGGCATTGCATCTCCTCTATTGAGCTGACTAGTTATAGGCTTTGCTTTGCTTTAATACTCGGCATTTCTCTTGACTGACTTTCAAAGTACTTTTTTTTTTTTTTTAAATTTCTCTGAGATACTCCCTAATTTTTAATTTGTATGTGCATTTTGTGCCCTGATGCCTAGATGCTTTGCTTATAGAAAAGAATTCTGTGATATCCAGCTGAGTTTTTGACTTTGTTTTTTCTTGATCTTCCATAGGACATAATGTGCAAAATCAAAACCTGGGTAATTGATGAAAAGAAAGCTGTCCGATTCTATCATGATTGGAATGACAAAGAGGTAGGCTATAAGTTTATCCCATGCACTGACTTCTGTTCTGATCTTGCTACGTGTTATTGTCTGTTTCTAAAGTGTTTTTTTTTTTTTTATGAATTAAATTTGCAGGTTGGGTGCAGTCTGTGTATTTTGCTTTAATTCTGTTGCCTCATCAGAAATGTCATGAAGAAGAGAGAGTCCTAAAATTAATTCAGATTGCTGTTTAAAGTTCTGTTCTTACATTTTCCATTCCAGATTGATGTTTTGAACAAACACCTATTTTTTACATCAAAGCCGATGATCTATTTGGTTAACCTCTCTGAAAAAGACTACATTAGAAAGAAAAACAAATGGTGAGTGTGCTCAAGTTAGATATCTAAATTTATGTTCCTATTTCATATGTTTCAGTGGTGAATAATTCCTTGCTGATTAAGATCACAAAGAATATTAATTAAAATAGTAGCAAAAGCTAATGCTGAACTTTTCTTATTTATGCTCCTGTTGATATGCTGTTCAAGTAAAATGCATATGGTGAAACCCTGGATGAAGTGTGGAAGAGAATAAAGTACTTCCCCTCTTTGTATTTTTATATGAAAAACTTAGGTTTGATTTAGACTGATTTTAAAAATCCTGAAGTTTTATCATGTTATGTAATACTGATCATCTGAATGACATCTTATTCATTCCAAAGGACTAATGCCTTCACGCCGGAGGACTAAAGCTATGTGAACTGCACAGAAATCTTTCGAGCTGTGGCAAAATTGCACTTTTTAGCACTGCACTTCTGTTTGCAGTTGGGTGCCCGGTTTCCTTGCCACTGTTGGTGCTTTGCTTAGGATTTATAGGCCTGTTTTGACAATCCTTAGTGTCACAAGCAGTGTAGGCTTTAGCTGGGTATTCTTGTCATCAATATGATGACTTAAGTACATGATGGTTACGGAATCAACCTTACAGACATTGAGTGAACTTGCATGGAGGTCCAGTCCTGGTATGGTAGGGACATGGTGGGTATCTGCTGCTGAGAGACGCCCTGTGACAGCATGTCATGGCATGCAGCTCTAGAAGGAATAAACATTCATTCGTGGAGGAGGCAACAAACTGAATAATACTCAAAGAAGAAAAATTAATAGCAGTATATTTTGTTTTAGAAAACCCTTTTTCTAGTATTCAAATCTTTAAACACTTGTGAGAGACTTTGAAGATGTATAAATGTGTGTTTGTAAACAGATATATGCATGTAACTCATCCAAATAAATCAAAAGTATCCAAAGCGGAATATCTGAATTCTCCTAAACTGCACCCTCTGTTTCTCCCTGTACTTCATTAAGTACTTAGATGCACATGGTTTCAATTTTCCATTAAAAATTCTCATTTCCATATGATATCAAAGAGTGAGAAGGCTTTAAACTGAAAAATAAACATTCATAGACTGGAAGCCAAAACAATAATTAATGTCAGATGGTTAACTCCAATAAATCATTAGAATAAATTCTATGAAATTACTGCATCTAAAACTGTCCTTTTGATACTCCAAGACATTTTGTGTTTGTACTAAAGAATAAAATGTAACCTTTTTAATGGCAAAAAGCCCCCAAAAGCCCTCTCAGCCCCAAAACACCAACTTTAGATAAAAATCAGTAACAAATGTAGTAAGTTTTGCCTGTTTGGCCAAACTTTATAATTTTGTATGAATTTGTTTGCCCTTAGAATATTTTGTGAATATAATGAAAGTGATTAAAAACAAAAAAGTCTTCTAAATCAGGAAAGCACTATTTCTCTGTTATTGTCAGGTGAATTTCTTTTTTTTTAAGTGCAGATGTAGAGGTTTCCTAAGGCTTGCTATAACAGTACAGACATGAAAGTTTATGTGAAAATGGATGAGCCGGTTTCCTTGTCCGAGAAAGGATCCTCACACCTGTATTTGGATGATTACAGGTAGAGCTCGCTGGCTCTAATTGTACAGTAAATACCATTTCCCAGACCCTAATGGTAGACAGACTGCTTAGGAGACGCCAGTCTGTGATTTAGCTGTCGCCAGTCACCCCATGTTTTTTGTGAGGCTTGTTGTGATGATGACATAGTTAAATCCAATTGAAAGCAAATCTTTGTATAAATTACAATTTTTAATTTGTTAAAAAAATCAAATGTTTGAATTGGAGAGTCATATAATGAAATGATTTAACTATTTCTATTGCAATTAATGATTTAGTTTTAAAAAGAAATTCCAGATCTCATGGATGTTAGTGTAATTGTAGCTGAAAGATCAAAGCCTGGGTAGCTGAGTGATGTTCCAGAAGAGAATTTACCACATAGCCATTTTCAGTACAGTTTCTGCCTCCTGCTGTTCCTATTTTCCCTCAAGCTAGCCATTGACTACCCCCTGTGCATCCCTGCTCGTAAAAAATGATTGAGGAAGTATTTGTCATGTATTTATGAGTGGGAAACATTGTGTGATAGGGAAAGGCATCTACTAGAACCAGAAAGATTGCCATTTTCCTCCATTCAGCCACTCTGCTACAGCTTTAAAGCCTCTGTTTATGCAACATGGCTTTTATATTTAAGTGCAGAATAAATTTTTCCTGTGAGGGATGCTAACGGTAGGCTTTTGTCATTTGTGTGGCACTAACAGATGTAAGTGATTAGAATATATTTTACTGTTAGATGTCACTTAATTTGTGACTTTATTATTATTTTGAGGAGTAGAGGTTCGTGTTTGAAATCTAAGCCACATTGAGATTAGTCACTCAACTTTAAAAAGTTCATTTCTCAGCGTAATTCATAATATTACTGTAGCAGAAGAAAGGTTAATGCAGGAAATACTCAGCAATAAAATGTTTTCATAAGTCTTTTACAACTAGAAAAGTATTTAAAGCACAGCAAACAGGAGGGGAGTGTTTTGATTGTGAGTATGAGAGAGAAAACTAAAATCTCTTGTTTTACTGGGTCACCCTATCAGAATTAATGAACATTTTAATTGTTAGTTAAAACGCACTTGCACTGAAGTGGTAACACGTTATTTTTCGGTCCTAGAAAAGAAGAAAACGCGGTGAAGGACAGGACTATTGTGTGTTTGAGTAGGTGTGTTGACCTTTTGAAAGATGTAAAAACTGGACAGGCTCCAGGCAGCTACTTGCTGGTTTTAACAATTTTGAATTAGTCATTCAGTTGATTTATGATTAAGACCTGGCCCCTGAAGAGAAGCTGACATGGCAGCTGCGTTGGGCGCACTTGTGGTGTGCTCAGATGACACTAATCACGGTGTCGTATAGGGGGAATCCACTGAAACCATTCTTACTGCATATTGCTGGCCTCTCACCGAGTACCTGAGCCCTTTTTAAGTGATTTCTAATAATTCGTATATGGTTCTGTTGCCTTAACACAGTCTAGGTGTATCTGAGCATTATCACTGTGTGAGTATTCTGAATAAGCGAGTCATGTGCAGTTACAGCTGCTGAGCTGCGAGATGTTGCACGCATCCAGGGCCTGAGATTGATCAGCCCTTCCCCTAATTAAAGGCTGGGGTTTGAGTCCTGCTAACGAGGGAGGGCCCTTTGGTGGCTCCAGCCTGGGATGGGATCCCCTGCGGAGCACGGTGAGCCGAGGAAGGGGGCGGCACGGGCCGAGCAGCTCCATCGCTCCTCTCTAAACACATGTTTTCTTTTTCTTGATATCCGTAAGCTGCAGTTTTCAGAGCTGGTTTTGCTGTTGAAGACCTCCTAATGTGGCGCATAAAATAATTTAAGGTGTTGCAGATATTCCTGAAGTCATTTGGGGCTTGATAGGGATCTATGAACATTGCTAATTTAACTCGGACTTCTTGAGTATCTGTGTGTTGATGTTGCTTTCAAGACCCATCTCAGGATTTCATAATGCTTACTAATTAAAAAGCAAAATGATGATGCTGATAGGGTAGGGTATCTCCCTTTAAATATTTTACAACCTCTGTAATTAAAAAAAATCTATTCTTGATAATAAATAAAACTTTGCATTTAATTTATATATTTTTCCTGCGTTCTTAAACTAGATGAGCCCTGTTGGGTCAGATGAACAGTCTCTTGTCTTCTAGAATCCTGTTTCTGCCAGGGCACTAGCAGCTGCCCAGGGAAGAGGGTAGGAACAGATTAAGCGGAGCCTACGAGATGGATTAAGTGGAGGCTCCGTGCCCAGTGTCCAGCGATCTGTGGGACTGGGGGGGCGCCAGATATGATATACTGGTGGTTAAGAACTTTCGACTGATTCTTATTCTATGGATTTATTCATTGACCTTTTGAACCCAAGTATACTTTCAGCATCCCAATATCCTGGAGCAGAGGCTTCCACAGTTTAACTATGTGCTATATGGAGAAGTATTTCCTTATGTTTGTTTTGGATCTGCCACATCGTAATTTCATTTGATGCTCCTTAGATCTCATAGTATGAGAGGGAATAATCCTTTTCAATTCATCTTTTCCATATTGCTTCAGATGTTCCAAATAAAAATAAGGGGTGGGGGGAAGGGGTGGCAGAGAGCAAAGTCCGAAATGAGGAAAGGAGGGGCAGGGTAAAGGATAAAGAAGACTGCATGGATTTGGGCAGGAATTAATTTCTTAGCCCCTTCATTCGGTGTTTCACTTCTAGACCAGGGCCGTGGTCATTGGGTGGCAGCTCAGGATCTGCAGGACTCTGTTCCGTTCTGCTGGTATGTGTCCAATGGCAGAACAGATAAAGTAGTTGTTTTTCACCCTTTTAGCAGAACGGCAGGGCAACATCTTGTGCTGATAGAGAGCAATCTGGACAAGGGCTTTGTGAGAGGGGAAGCAATGCTATCCAAAGGACCTCATGTCTTCAGCAGGCCCGTGTGAAACAACCCAAAGATTTAACACCCCACAAAAGAAAATAACTCCAAGCTCCCAAGCCTCCCCTTCTGTTTTTGTGCGATATGTGGCTTCAGGGAAGTTCTGGAGTCACTTATTTCTCTATGCTCTTAGACTTGTTAGCGGTAAGTATTTGATCTTGATGTAAAAACATTTTAAGTGTAAGTTCTTCCTTAGGCTTTTACTTGCATTTTGGTTTGACACCTTTCAAAAGACATTTTTTTTGCATAGATCTGTTTCCAGCAGATTCAAAGGATGGTACTGCAGAAGTATGTGGCAGAAGAGGGTATGGTCTTCATCAAGAGTAATTTTTTTATGATATTGGCTTGACATATCACAAAGCAAAACATGGTTTAACAAGCAGTATAAGGGTATCTATATTTAAGAGCCCTAATAAATTCATAGGTAGTATAATTAAGAGAAAGAACTGCTGGAGACTAGTTCTATCTCTTCAGTAATTGAAAGTGTGTTGACCATAAGAATGAAACATCTTTAGATGC